TCCGGTATTTTTCTTTCTCTTTCTGGCTTATCTCACTAAGCATGATCTTTTCCAGCTCCATCCAAGTTGCTGCAAAAGACATGTATTTCTCTTTTTTGGTTGCTGAGTAATATTCCATTGTGTATATGTACCACATCTTTCTAATCCAGTCATCAACTTTTGGGCATTTGGGCTACTTCCATGTTTTTCCAATTGTAAATAAAGCAGCAATAAACATGGGGGTACAAGTATCTTTTTCAGTCAGTGTTTTTGTGTCTTTTGGGTAGATACCTTGGAGTGGGATTGCTGGGTGTAGGGAAGCTCCATGTTTAGCAGTTTGAGGAACCTCCAAACAGCTTTCCATAGTGGTTGTAATAAGCAGCAAATTTTTAAAAATAAATTCATTTGAAATATTCATTTTCCCTCAATAGCTACAAATGCTTTTCACATATAGAACATTCTAGTCATTGCTATAAGGAATTACAGAACACAAAGACTATATAGTTTTTGCTCATGTATATATAGAAACATTTTACAAATATCAAACTCTACATTTTACAAATATCAAACTCTCAACATCTATTAGAAGATTTGTTAGAAGATTTACAATCTTCTACTCAAGGCATTAGCTTCTAAATATTTATGTATTTTGTGACAGTAAAAATTGTGACATCATACTCATTAGGTGAGGAATCTGACATATAAAGGGCAATGTGTTTGACTAACCAGTTTATAGTAATCTTATTACTACTCCAGTGATTGGTTTGTGAATATACATTTCCTAGTTAGAGTTAAAAAGATATAAATTAAGTCACTTTGGGGATCTTTGGTGGAAAACCTGTAATCTCTTAAAAAATAAAAGACACACCAGGTTGTTTACATAAAATATCTTAAAGAATGTATTGAAATATTAATATGTATTTATATAATTGCTGGATATAAGGTGAATATTATGAAAACTGAGTTGTATTTCCATATACTATCATCAAAAATTATAGAGAAAAAATTAAATGTATTTTATTATAGCATCAGAAAACCTCATATACCAGGAGTAAATCAATAAAACATTCACAAGTTCTTTGCTCATAAATCTATGTAGCATTTCTAAGAAAAATGAAAAATAAGTCAGAGATATATTTATGGATTAAGTGACATTATGAAAATTAAAGAGAGGCCCTCCCTAGTGGCGCAATGGGTTAAAGCGCTGCACTGCAAGCTTACAGCCACTTCACTATGTGATTGCCTCCCCCAGGGTGATCCACATGGT